AGGAGACAGAACGCGTCTCCTTCCTGAGCGGTATGACGGCTGCGTGGTCCCATGGTGTTTATACTTGTGTACTATTGTTTGTACAGATGAACATGGTACCTTCAGGCGTTTGGAAATTGCTCCCAAGGATGAACCAGACTTGTGGAGGTCTACATTTTTTCTGAGGTCTTGGCTGATTTCTTTTCATTTTCCCATGATGTCAAGCAAAGAGACACTGAGTTTGAAGGTAGGCCCTGAAATACATCCACAGGTACACCTCCAATTGACTCAAATGATGTCAATTAGCCTATCAGAAGCTTCTAAAGCCATGACATCATTCTCTGGAATTTTCCAAGCTGTTTAAAGGCACAGTCAACTTAGTGTATGTCAACTTCTGACGCACTGGAATTGTGATACAGTGAATTATAAGTTAAATAATCTGTCTGTAAACAATTGTTGGAAAAATTACTTGTCATGCACAAAGTAGATGTCCTAACCGACTTGCCAAAACTATAGTTTGCTAACAAGAAATTTGTGGAGTGGTTGAAAAACTAGTTTTAATGACACCAACCTAAGTGTATGTAAACTTCCGACTTCAACTGTACATGCTTTAGATAAGGCAGCCAGAGAGAAATAAGAGAAGTTACCGCTGTTCTTAGAATTTGGGGGGAGGGAGAGAGGGAGAGGTGTCTGCAACCTTTTTTAGTATAATAACTACTTTTTAAAAGAATGATGTGCCAGCTACAAATATATTTAGCATTGAAATACGCACATTCTTTTCTCCCCTGCAACTCTTCCCCAGGTCTTTGCTGTATAATATTTTTTATAATGGTTAATCAACAATTGTAAGTTGGACCCTATAAAATGCATTACATTTTTTCCCAAATTCCGTTTTCTCTGTTGTATTTTTCGTGGTTTTGAATTGTTTTCTTTTTTTTTTGCTCAAAATATTACAATTTATATAGAGAAACAACACAGTTGGATATTCAGAGTGCATGTCAATGTGTACATCACATCACCAGACCGTTGTCTGGGCGATAAAACAAAGTGTAATTTCCCTTTATTTGCGCACCTAGCGAGAGCGGACTGTTTTTGGCTAGCAATGTTTCTGTACTGCACACATCATGGCAGAATTCGCAAAACAAATGTGAACTTGACTGATACAAATAATCATGATATCATTGTCATGTAGGCCTACTTTATTTGTGAAGTGCAGTAATACCTAACAATACACAACAATACACACAAATACAAAAAATTGAAAGAAAGGAATTAAGAAATATCAGAACGAGCAATATCAGAGTCCATAATAAATATGTATACTGTATGATGGTGTGTGTATAGACTTTATGGACAGTATATGAATAGAAAATGTGTGTACAGCAGTAGTTATATAGGATGAGCCTTGACTAGAATACAATATATACAGTGAGGGAAAAAAGTATTTGCCCACTAACAAAGACATGATCAGTCTATAATTTTAATGGTAGATTTATTTCAACAGTGAGAGACAATAACAACAAAATAATCCAGAATAACGCATGTCAAGAATGTTATAAATTGATTTGCATTTTAATGTGGGAAATAAGTATTTGACCCCTCTGCAAAACATGACTTAGTACTTGGTGGCAAAACCCTTGTTGGCAATCACAGAGGTCAGACGTTTCTTGTAGTTGGCCACCAGGTTTGCACACCTCTCAGGAGGGATTTTGTCCCACACCTCTTAGCAGATCTACTCCAAGTCATTAAGGTTTCGAGGCTGACGTTTGGCAACTCGAACCTTCAGCTCCCTCCACATATTTTCTATGGGATTAAGGTCTGGAGACTGGCTAGGCCACTCCAGGACCTTAATGTTTTGGATCATTGTCATGCTGGAATACCCATCCACGACCCATTTTCAATGCCCTGGCTGAGGGAAGGAGGTTCTCACCCAAGATTTGATGGTACATGGCCCCGTCCATCGTCCCTTTGATGCAGTGAAGTTGTCGTGTTCTCTTAGCAGAAAAACACCCCCAAAGCATCATGTTTCCACCTCCATGATTGACGGAGGGGATGGTGTTCTTGGGGTCATAGGCAGCATTCCTCCAAACACGGCGAGTTAAGTTGATGCCAAAGAGCTCGATTTTGGTCTCATCTGACCACAACACTTTCACCCAGTTCTCCTCTGAATGATTCAGATGTTCATTGGCAAACTTCAGACGGGCCTGTATATCTGCTTTCTTGAGCAGGTGGACCTTGCGGGCGCTGCAGGATTTCAGTCCTTCACGGCGTAGTGTGTTACCAATTGTTTTCTTGGTGACTATGGTCCCAGCTGCCTTGAGATCATTGACAAGATCCTCCCATGTAGTTCTGGGCTGATTCCTCACCGTTCTCATGATCATTGCAAATCCACGAGGTGAGATCTTGCATGGAGCCCCAGGCCGAGGGAGATTGACAGTTATTTTGTGTTTCTTCCATTTGCGAATAATCACACCAACTGTTTTCACCTTCTCACCAAGCTGCGTGCCGATGGTCTTGTAGCCCATTCCAGCCTTGTGTAGGTCTACAATCTTGTCCCTGACATCCTTGGAGAGCTCTTTGGTCTTGGCCATGGTGGAGAGTTTGGAATCTGATTGATTGATTGCTTCTGTGGACAGGTGTCTTTTATACAGGTAACAAGCTGAGATTAGGAGCACTCCCTTTAACAGTGTGCTCCTAATCTCAGCTCGTTACCTGTATATAAGAAACCTGGGAGCCAGAAATCTTTCTGATTGAGAAGGGGTCAAATACTTATTTCCCTCATTTAAAATGCAAATCAATTCATAACATTTTTGACATGCGTTTTTCTGGATTTTTTTGTTATTATTCTGTCTCTCACTGTTCAAATAAACCAACCTTTTAAATTATAGACTGATCATTTCTTTGTCAGTGGGCAAACGTACAAAATCAGCAGGGGATCAAATACTTTTTTTCCCTCACTGTACATATGAAGTGGGTAAAACAGTATATACACTGAGTGTACATAAACATTAGGTTTTCCATGATACAGACTGCCCAGGTGAAAGCTATGGAATGTCACCTGTTAAATCCACTTCAATCAGTGTAGATGAGGGGAGGAGACAGGATTTTAAAGCCTTGAGACAATTGAGACATGGATTGTCTATGTGTGCCATTCAGAGGGTGAATGGGCAAGACAAAAGATTTAGGTGCCTTTTGAACGGGGTATGGTAGTAGGTGCCAGGTGCACCGTTTTGAGTGTGTCAAGAACTGCGATGCTGCTGGGTTTTTCACGCTCAACAGTTCCCTGTGTGTATCAAGAATGACATCCAGCCAACTTAATACAACTGTGGGAAGCATTGGAGTCAACATGGGCCAATATCCCTGTGGAATGGTTTCGACACCTTGTAGATTCCATGCCCAAACGAATTTAGGCTGTTCTGAGGGCAAAAGGGGGTACAACTCAATATTAGGAAGGTGTTCATAATGTTTTGTACACTCAGTGTAAACATTATTAATGTGACCAGTGTTTAATGTCTATGTACATAGGGCAGCAGTCGATAAGGTGCAGGGTATAGTACCGGGTGGTAGCCAGCTAGTAACAGTGACTTGGTTCAGGGCAGGCTAGTGGTGACTATTTAACAGTCCAATGGCCTGGAGATAAAAGCTATTTTTCAGTCTCTCGGTCCCAGCTTTGATGCACCTGTACTGTCTCTGCCTTCTAGATGTTAGTGGGGTGAATAGGCCATGGCTCGGGTGTCTGAGGTCCTTGAGGATCTTATTGGCCTTCCTGTGACACCAGGCACTGTAGATGTCCTGGAGAGCAGGCAGTGTGTCCCCTGTGATGCGTTGGGCTGACCGCACCACCCTCTGGAGAACCCTGCGGTTGCGGACGGTGCAATTGCCAAACCAGGCGGTGATACAGCCCGACAGGAGGCTCTCAATGGTGCATCTGTAGAAGTTCATGAGGGTCTTAGGGGCCAAGCCAAATTTCTCCAGCCTCCTGAGGTTGAAGAGGTGCTGTTGCTGTTCCGCCTTCTTCACAACACTGTCTGTGTGGATGGGCCATTTCAGGTTGTCCGTGATGTGCACGCCAAGGAACTTCAAGCTTTTCAAACAGTCAACTGTGGCCCCTTCAATTTGAATGGGGGCGTGCTCTCTCTGTTGTCTCCTGAAGTCCATGATCAGCTCCTTCATTTTGTTGACATTAAGGTAGAGATTATTTTCCTGGCACCACTCCGCCAGGGCGTTCACCTCCACCCTGTAGGCTTGTTGTTGTTGGTAATCAGGCCTACCACACGCCGGGAGCGTGCAGTGTCTGATATTTGTGAGATGTGTTTATGACAGTTTGCAATGGAACTCGTGAAAAATGTACTTTCAGATTTGTTTGGCGAGCTTCTTGTGGGCTGAGAGCTACTGGTAGCTTGCGATCTACCTGTTGGAGCCCCTTGGTCTAAGCACAAAACAATGAATGGGGAAGGAAGAAGCTAAATGGAGAAGGGTTTAGTGTTCAAGCCGGTATCAGAGTTTAACATCATGCCTGGCCCCTCTCAGTTTAACCCTTAGCCCCTAGTGGATGAACCTCTCCCCCATCTCTTTTCTCTTCTCTCCCCTCTCCGCTCCTACTCTACACACACCTCATCTGCAGTGTGAGAGACTCCAGCCATTGAGTTTTAATAAAGCTCTCTATCTCTCTACCACACACACACGCGCACACATGCATGCACTTCCACCTCAAATACGGACACACACAGACGCAAGCACACATATACACACACACACAACATTATCACTCATAGTTTCAGAGAAGAACAAAACAGCAACGGAGCTTACAGACCAAGGACATTAGTGTCATGACACAACAATGACAGCTACATTTGGAAGGGTTTGAAATTAATCTCTGCTCTCTCTTTTCTCTAGCCATTTGAGGACCATCCCAGGACACAATAGATAAAGGCATATCATCGGTGGGTCACTGGATCCCTAAAGAAAACACAAAACCCTACTTTAAAAACAACAATTTGGTTTGTGGTTGAGTATCCATCATGGGATATCGAATTCACCACCATCTTGGGGGTGGAAGGCCTGTCTACATCCTACTACTCCCACTAGCTCTAGCCCTGCTGACCCTGTTGTCTGAGGCCCAGGGCCGTATGGATAGAGCCAGGACAGAGGAGGAAAGTAGAGCAGGGCTGTTGAGGAGGGTGAAGAGAGGCTGGGTATGGAACCAGTTCTTTGTGCTGGAGGAGTACACTGGACTGGAGCCGCTATACATCGGAAAGGTGAGTTGGCGCACACACACATGCATGAACACACACACACAAACACACTGAATAAATAAATGTGTTAACTGCATGTCACTTTGGATGAAAGCATCTGCTAAATGCCCACCATCATTACTATTGAACTGTTTTATGACAGCTCTCAACTTTTCAATCAATGTCGTTGTGGTCGGCTGGACGTGGTCTCTGATGGCTGCAGGGTTTATCATCATTGATAAAATGTTCAATCCACTTTAACACTTGAGTGGTCAAGGTATCCTCTTGTGCCAATGAATCTCTGTCTGCCTCCCAAATGGTACCCTATTCCCTATGTAGTGCACTACTTTTGGCGAGGGCCCATAGGGTTCCCATATGGCCATGGTCAAGAGTAATACACTATGTAGGGAATAGGGTGCCATTTGGGACACAGCCTTTGCCTATACAGTACATGCCACACTAGTTTCTATGGAGCAGTAGTGTGGATGAGTGTCTAGAGTATCTTTCGTTCCATTTACTTCACACTTTCCTTTTTGTCTGAGCCTATCTAACAAAGCAGAGGAAACCCTCTCAGTGTGAAAGGTGTCTAGCCAGGGGTTAAACTTTAGATTTGTAGATGGTGGAACTGTTCCAAAAAAGGACTGTATTCCATGTTCTATTCTTTTCTTTTACAGAAATCTTCTGAACCATCACCTTGTGACGTGAAACAATGAAGTAGTGAAACGTCACAAATTCAGTAAAGTCAAATAATAGCATAATATATTCATATTCAGTCTGTGTCCCAAATGGCACCCTATTCCCTATAGTGCTCTACTTTTGACCAGGGCCCATAGGGGTAAAGTAGGGTGCTTATTGAGAATCTACAGTATACAGAGACTGGGTTGTCACCTCGCCACACACACATGATAATTGTAACCATCGTCATGACAACAAAGGTGTGTGTGTGTGTGTGTGCTTCAAACGCACCTCAAAATACTTTCTAACCTCTGACCCCTAACCTCTGACCTGTGACCCCCACAGCTCCACTCAGACATGGACCTAGGGGATGGCTCAATCAAGTACATACTATCAGGAGATGGTGCGGGCACCACCTTCACCATTGACGACAGTACGGGGGACATCCATGCCATCAAGAGGCTGGACCGCGAGGTCAAGGCCCAGTACCTGCTGCGAGCCCAGGCCTGGAACAGACAGACAGATCGACCCTTAGAGCCCGAATCTGAGTTCATTGTCAAGATCCAGGACATCAATGATAATGAACCTAAGTTCCTGGATGGGCCCTACCAAGCCACCATACCTGAGATGTCAACCATAGGTGAGTCAGTAGAGATTGTAGTAGTCGGAGACATAGGCTGAGTCCTGATTCCCCACCCTTCTCCAAAAGTGTGCACTTGCACACTGTCTTGAATGGATTTTACAATAGTGGAAACTCCCTCAAGCAAATGGTTACACCAATGTTTTTAAATCCATGACAGTGTGCAAGTGCACATTGTGGGAGAATTGGCACATAAAGCCACAGTGTGCATCTAAAATGGCAGCCTATTCCCTATATAGTGCACTACATTTGGTCAGGACCATTTCAGAAACACAGCTAGAGAGTGTAGCTGGACGTCATGCTGCTGCCTCTAAATGTTTCATTCATTCATTCATGAACAGTCTTTGCATTAGTTTTAGTTCTAGTAGTTCAGTTAGCAAACTCTGTTTTTCTATTATACAGTATGTCTCTGTTGTGCTGGTTATTCACAGCAGTGTGTTTCTGTGAGTAGTGTACGTTGGGAAGGAGATGAGGATGTTTGGTTACGTGCACACAATAGCCAAGATAATTATGTCTTTGCAATATCGTCATTATGCCATCAAAATGATGTCTCTGCTTACACACTTCACCAGTGGAATACAATATTTATAAATCCACCAGTGAGTGCAGATACTTTGAGGCGGAACATAACTCCACAGTTACCCCTAATAGCCTACACCCATCGGCAACACTGAAGCAGTTTTATGCAGATGGAACAATCCTTTTTGTAAACAGACCTTGTTGAAATAACCATATAGAAACAGAATGAGTCATTCCAGTTGTGTGGAAATAATTTTGCTCACCAAGTCACTCTCTTTCTACTTCTCCCTTCCTCCCTCCTTCCCCAGGCACTGAGGTGATTCGGCTGACCGCTACAGACGCTGATGACCCTACATATGGTAACAGTGCCAGGGTGGTCTACAGCATCCTGCAAGGACAGCCATACTTCTCTGTGGAGCCCAAGACTGGTATGTAAGCACAGGGGAACCAACACCAAAAGTGTCCAAAACATCGTCAGACCTTGTTACGTTCTCCCCTCGGGTGTAGTTCATCTGAGGAGGAGACGTAAATGCCTGTGCCTGCGCACACAAGGTAAACTAGATGGATGGGGAAGAAATGTGGGGTGTCATGAACTAAAATAACCAGACAACATCCAGATCTCAAGATTAGCCCTCGGGGGACGTTTAGTAAGCTACTTAAAATATACAACGCCCATACAGAAACTGTACTGAAACAAAAATCTATCAAACAAACCAGGGAAGGTAAGAGAAGGCAATATTTGGGAACGGGGTCCAATTAATGAAAATAAACAAAAGGTCCCTCCTCTTCTACACACCTAAACCTTCCAATCACACTCTAACCCTAACCCACTTTCCTGCCTGTTTACCAAAAAATACAGGGGTGACACCCGCCCGGCTAACCTAGTGTATAAAACAATGGGTTATCTACGTGGGAATGTACACCCATGGGCAGATCTACCTTTCCCTTCTCCAGGACCTAGGTAGGGTGGAGTACATCAGGAGGACAGGCTGGAACACAAACAAAGATACATTAACACAGCCAAACAACAAGTGTCCTCTCCCCTCCTCTTCGAGCTCACACGGCAAACAGGTATACTCTCATCAATTAGCCACAGCTGCCAGGACTGCGGACCGAAGCCACGCCCACCATCGTCAGCCGCAACTCAGCCCAAATGTAATGCCCAGAACACACAAACACACTACACAGGAAAATGGGGAGAAAGAAAAACACGTCACACGTAACAGACCTGCATTAACAATAGTAGTTACAATGGATGTGCTTTAGTTATGTTAGTAGACTTCCATGTTTTGGCACAGAGATGAGGCACTCCCATCTTCTCCTCAAGGAAACAAACACACACATAAAGGCTGAATGTAATACAATAGAGTTTGAACGTAAACTCATATGGCACATATAGACAGGGTTAAGAATACCCTCTTGTGGCTGCCAATGGTAACAACTGGCAAATCCAAAATGAATGGGCAAATACAGTAGCTACAGCAGAGTTCCCCAACTGGCGGCCAGCAAGCTGAATTTGGCCTGCGGTTGATTTTATTTGGCACACCAAGTTTTTATATTTGAGATTCTTCAAAGTAGCCACCCTTTGCCTTGATGACAGCTTTACACACTCTTGGCATTCTCTCAACCAGCTTCTCTTGGAATACATTTCCAACAGTTTTGAAGGAGTTCCCACATATGCTGAGCAGTTATTGGCTGCTTTTCCTTCACTCTGCGATCCAACTCATCCCAAACCCTCTCAATTGGGTTAAGGTCAGGTGATTGTGGAGGCCAGGTCATCTGATGCAGCACTCCATCACTCTCCTTCTTGGTCAAATAGCCATTACACAGCATGGAGGTGTGTTTTAGGTCATTGTCCTGTAGAAAAACAAATGATAGTCCCACTAAGCACAAACCAGATGGGATGGCGTATCGCTGCAGAATGCTGTGGTAGCCATGCTGGTTAAGTGTATCTTGAATTCTAAATGAATTCTAAATATACAGGAGACCATCTCACACTGAGAGGGTCTCCTGTATATTTATTGTTGGACATAAAGACTGTAAAAACACCAGCAAATCAGCTCCAAGTGATTTTTAATTTTGGAAATATGTTCAAAAGAATTCCCACACATAATGGAGACATACAGAGCATTAGGAAATTATTCAAACTCCTTCACTTTTTCCACATTTTGTTACGTTACAGCCTTATTCTAAAATGAATTTCCTCATCAATCTACACACAATACCCCATAATGACAAAGCGAAACAGATTTTGAGACATTTTTGCAAATGTATAAAAAATAAACAACAGAAATACCTTATTTACATAAGTATTCAGACCCTTTGCTATGTGACTCAAAATTGAGCTCAGGTGCATCCTGTTTCCATTGATCATCCTTTGAGATGTTTCTACAACTTGATTGGAGTCCACCTGTGGCAAATTCAACTTATTGGACATGATTTGGAAAAGCACACACCTGTATATACAGTGCTTTGCAAAAGTATTTATCCTCCTTAGCGTTTTTCCTATTTTATTGCATTACAACCTGTAATTTAAAATGATTTTTATTTGGATTCAATGTAATAGACATACACAAAATAGTTCAAATTGGTGAAGTGAAATGAAAAAATTACTTGTTTCAATAAATTCTAAAAAATAAATAACGGAAAAGTGGTGCGTGCATATGTATTCACCCCTTTCGCTATGAAACCCCTAAATAAGATCTGGTGCAACCAATTACCTTCAGAAGTCACATAATTAGTTAAATAACGTCCACCTGTGTGCAATCCAAGTGTCACATCATCTGTCACAAGATCTCAGTGTATATATACAGTCAGGGGAAAAAAGTATTTGATCCCCTGCTGATTTTGTACGTTTGCCCACTGACAAAGACATGATCAGTCTATAATTTTAATGGTAGGTTTATTTGAACAGTGAGAGACAGAATAACAACAACAACAAAAAAAGAAAAACGCATGTCAAAAATGTTATAAATTGATTTGCATTTTAATGAAGGAAATAAGTATTTGACCCCTCTGCAAAACATGTACTTGGTGTCAAAACCCTTGTTGGCAATCACAGAGGTCAGACGTTTCTTGTAGTTGGCCACCAGGTTTGCACACATCTCAGGAGGGATTTTGTTCCACTCCTCTTTGCAGATCTTCTCCAAGTCATTAAGGTTTCGAGGCTGATGTTTGGCAATTCGAACCTTCAGCTCCCTTCACAGATTTTCTATGGGATTAAGGTCTGGAGACTGGCTAGGCCACTCCAGGACCTTAATGTGCTTCTTCTTGAGCCACTCTTTTGTTGCCTTGGCCGTGTGTTTTGGGTCATTGTCATGCTGGAATACCCATCCACGACCCATTTTTAATGCCCTGGCTGAGGGAAGGAGGTTCTCACCCAAGATTTGACGGTCCATCGTCCCTTTGATGCGGTGAAGTTGTCCTGTCCCCTTAGCAGAAAAACACCCCCAAAGCATAATGTTTCCACCTCCATGTTTGACAGTGGGGATGGTGTTCTTGGGGTCATAGGCAGCATTCCTCCTCCTCCAAACACGGCGAGTTGAGTTGATGCCAAAGAGCTCGATTTTGGTCTCATCTGACCACAACACTTTCACCCAGTTCTCCTCTGAATCATTCAGATGTTCATTGGCAAACTTCAGACGGCCCTGTATATGTGCTTTCTTGAGCAGGGGGACCTTGCGGGCGCTGCAGGATTTCAGTCCTTCACGGCGTAGTGTGTTACCAATTGTTTTCTTGGTGACTATGGTCCCAGCTGCCTTGAGATCATATACAAGATCCTCCCGTGTAGTTCTGGGCTGATTCCTCACTGTTCTCATGATCATTGCAACTCCACGAGGTCAGATCTCCAAGATGGCGTAGCAGTGCGGTCGTGTACTCTGTGTGTGTGTCCGTGTAAATAGCCAGTTTTTTGTATTTTTCGTACATATTTCCCTATCACACTTTTCATCCTTTTACTAAATATAATTTCATGCAACCCGCCTCACTCAATGTGGAACGGATTCTATTATTGACTTACCTTTTATACATACATACATACATGTCATTTAGCAGACGCTCTTATCCAGAGCGACTTACATGAGCAATTAGGGTTAAGTGCCTTGCTCAAGGGCACATCGGCAGATTTTTCACCTAGTCGGCTCGGGGATTAGAACCAGCGACCTTTCGATAACTGGCGCAACGCTCTTAACCACTAAGCTACCTGCCGTCCAGATTCACTGGACCTTATGATCACTCAGCTGCACAGCTGACGCCTGCTGGACTGTTCCTTTACACGGTACCCTGTCCTGTTTATCTGTTTAGCCTCAGCCCAAACTTTCATCGCCATTACCAGCTGTTGTCTTAGCTCTCTCAAATAACACCTGTGATTACTTTATGCCTCTCTCCCATGTCAATATGCCTTCCCTATTGCTGTTCCAGTTAGTTCTTATTATACAATTTCACTGTAAAGCCCCAAGTCCCTCTCAAACTGCCTCAAATAGCTCCTTTGTTCCACCCCCCATACACGCGGAGACCGGCTCAATCGGTGCCTCCAGTGATGCTATCGCTTTCATTGTTACCCAACGCTTAGGTTTACCTCCACTGTACTCATATCCTTCCATATCCTTGTCTGTACATAATGCCCTGAATCTATTCTACAACGCCGAAAATCTGTCCCCTTTACTCTCTGTACCCAACGCACTAGAAGACCAGTTCTTAAAGCCTTTAGCCGTATCCTTATTCTAGTCCTCCTATGTTCCTCTGGTGATGTAGAGGTTAACCCAGGCCCTGCAGCCCCCAGTATCACTTCTACTCCCCAGGAGCTATCATTTGTTGACTTCTGTAACCGTAAAAGCATTGGTTTTTTGCATGTTAACGTCAGAAGCCTCCTCCCTAAGTTTGAGTTATTCACTGCGTTAGCACACTTCGCCAACCCTGATGTTCTAGCAGTGTCTGAATCCTAGCTTAGGCCACCAAAAACTCAGAAATGTCCATCCCCAACTACAACATTTTCCGTCTAGATTGAACTGCCAAAGGGGGCAGAGTTGCAATCTGATGTAGAGATCGCCTGCAGAGCTCTATCATACTATCCAGGTCTGTGCCCAAACAGTTTGAGCTCCTACTTCTAAAAATCCACCTTTCCAGAAATAAGTCTCTCACTGTTGCCGCTTGCTACAGACCCCACTCAGCCCCCAGCTGGGCCCTGGACACCATATGTGAATTGATTGCCCCCCATCTATCCTCAGTGTTCGTACTGCTTGGTGACCTAAACTGGGATATGCTTAACACCCCGGCCATCCTACAATCCAAACTAGATGCCCTCAATCTCACACAAATTATCAAGGAACCTACCAGGCACAACCCTAAATCCATAAACATGGGCACCCTTATAAATATCATCCTGACTAACTTACCCTCTAAATACACCTCCGCTGTCTTCAACCAGGA